TTTCCTTAGCGACAGACTCGCCGATAGTGGTGACACTATATATGCTATTGCTACTTAGCAAATTGTAAAGTACTATAGGTCTTTTTTTTGTTTAAATTGATCTTTTATTTGCAATTTATAGAATATTCTAGTTGTATATTATTTTGGATTTCACAAAGTAATGGATTATAAATAATATATTATAGTAAAAGAAAAATTGATTCATCTTAGTTTATACTGTTGATATAATTTTTAGTAAGTCTGTTACTTCTGCTGACAGGTTTGTATCATATAAAAGATAAGTAAATAAAAGTTTCTTGAGATGTGTATTATTTATTTGGCCAATAGTACTCTTTCTAATTCTTTCTTGCTTTCTCTTTCTATTGATCATACTTCCCAAACAATTTTTACACTTTCCTTATTTTTTGTGATCCTTGACATCCTTCTTCTTTTGTGATGAATACTGGATTGGAATAAGATTTAATTAATTTTTCCCTTTTTGGACAGCATCCATCGTATAGCCTAAAAAGGAAAATTTCAATTTAGGAATGATTTGTCTTTATTTTCTGGTTTTTTTTATTATTCTATCTATTATTTTCTATCTTTTTATTTGTCTCTTTTTTCTATTTATTCTGTTTTTTTTATTCATTATGCTCTATTTTTTCTTTTATCTATTTATTTATTACTCTTCTCTTTCATTGTCATAATATCATATTTATAATAAACTATTCTAGACTTTATAACTGTAACTCTATTTTTTAAACTTTGCACTTACTAAATCTGTTAATGATTAAGATCTTGATTAGACATGATATGTAAAAATCGTATTTTGCAGCCTAATTAATCTAACCTTTGCCCCCAATAATACTATTTCCTACTATTATTCTTTTTATTAAATTCATATTAATGATTATTTAATAATTTATTAATAAAAAATTTCAGAATTAATATTATAAGATTTACTGGAACTTTGATTTTTAGAAGAGTTTTTTATAATATTTATCTAATAGTATTGGATACTTTAGCTATATTTAGAAATAGGATTCATAGTTTTTTAAGTTTCTTTATATACTGTATATTATTTATTATATATATAAGTTTTAAGATATATTCTTTTAATAAACCAACAAAGTTAAATTCTTTTAGAATATTATATGTTTTATATATAGTGTTGACCATACATGTGGACGTATTATCATAAAAGAAAATTTGATCGACAATACGATTCCGAATTAAATACGAATTCCAATTATTTACTATATATTACTTAGTAATTCTATCATAATATTGTTTTTGAAAAATGCTTGAATTCAATTTTACCATATATATAGTGTTGATATCTCATTTAGTGAGTCTGTCGCTTTTTTGAAGCTTGTCTTGCATAACATCAGGTAAGATTTAGATCTTCTCTACTTTGAGGCATGTAATTTTTGTTCGGTCAAGTCTTGCTAATTTTTTTTTTTTTTTGTTGTTACTTCTCTTGATAAAATCTTTATTATGTTCCTTTATGATTTTCTATCATCCTTCACTTGCAACAAGTACTGGATTAGATAAGCTAATTAGTTTTTACTCTTTTTGCAATGTCAATTATATATCTTAATTAGGAAGTCTTTAATTAAGGCTATCATTGTATCTTGTATATTGTATGTGCTATATCATATGTGCTATGTCCCCTTGTGATTTTCATTCCTCCTCTTCTTTTTATAATAGTATATCACGTCTCTCTACTGATATTATGTCATACTATCTTACTAAGCTAAAATAGACTATCTATTTATTTTTTTTTATACTAGCTAATAAACTTTCTGAAACTATAACTAATATAACTTTAAAATTATAAAGTATCACTATATTACTTATTGTTTATTGAAAATTGGAACATGAGATGTGCTGGAATGTATAATGCTACCATGCCCTATACTATTTTCCTGCTAACAATAGAAAATAGTTGATTTGTAACTATCTTAATAAAAAACACTTTTATGAGACATTCAAAAATATAATAAATCTAGTATTGCTTAGAATATCCTACTATTTTTTTTTGAGATTGGATAAACTAAATTTTCTTTTTATATTATAGAAAATTATATTATAAATTAAATACATATTTATAAGTTGATATAATATTTTTTTTAAAGATTCTTAAGTAATTAAGTATTTTATATTTGATTTTATTGAATTAAATTATTTTGTCATTGAATAGATTTTTGATAATTTTTTTTTTTTATTTTTTTTTTTGAAATAAAAAATAATAAAAGCATTATATTTTTTATTGGATTATTTATATTCAATTATATATGTCAAAGATTTATTTAAGTTAATCTATATCTCTTATTTATTAATACAATTATATAGTTTTATACTAGAAAGTAAATTCATATATCAAGTAAGATTAAGTCAAGAAATGAAAATTTTGCTATCGGTTTAAACTATCTAATCTGCTAATCCAATTTTGTTAAGAAATATTTATCTTGCAAAGATTATTAAAACAATCAAATATTTTGATACTTTTTATTTTAAATTAATAATAAGTAGAATTCCTAATGATACTACTTTAATATTTGTTTAATACTTGTTCAATACTTAAATTTATTATAAATTTATATAAGTAAGTGGTTACAATTCATATATTAAATTTACTATAAATCAGTATTATTTTGGTATTATTTCAGTACCAGTTCAGTATTTTTTAGAGCCCTAATGAGAAGATAATATATTCACAAATCTAATTCAAGATTAGAAAGTATTGTGTATATGTCAATATCAATAATTTTCTTTTTATATGTTTTGTAGCTTAGATATTGTTACTAAAATTTTTTTGAATTTTTATTAACTAGTTATATTCTATTATATATTATTATAATTTATTATTATTTCTCAGTTTTACATATATTTTTATGTTAGCAAAGTAATATTTCTCTCAAGAATTTTCAAAACGCCTATAGTAATTCAAACGGCGCAGCTAATTCGGAGCGTCGTAGCTCAAAACCCAACTTGTAAAGATTTTTTGTGGTTCTAAATAACTATTTGCTGAAAGACTAGAAGAACATTTTTTGTTAAGAGCTCAAAAACGATTAGCATAATATAATTTTGAATAATTTCGATTCTTATCTTACAGATAAGAATTTTCTTTGCAGATCACCCAAGTGTAACAAAAATAATTCTTTAGTCATTCTTTGTGTAAAATAGATGAACCACACATAAATATTTACAGTAGAGTAATTAACAATTGCCAAAACATTATAAAAAGGCTGCATTTTCCCTCAGCCTTGGCATAAAGAACAACTTGGACCATAGTTTAAAAACATTGAATTCTTATATTATTTTATTACATTTTTGTTCTCATATTTTTATTTCTTTTCTTTTGAAATTCATTTTGTATATTGTTATCTTTTGATTCCAATATCAAGGCAGAGTTGTAAAATCTGACTGAAGCAATAATATTCAATTGTTTATGTTTAATTTATTTGATAGTATTTAAAACATAATATATGTTAAATAAATTAAATTATTGAAAGTTAAATATTATTTATATCAATAATTTTGAAGTCTGTCAGGCAAGGGACTGAAAGTTTCAATATATTAAATTGTGAATATTCATCTTCTTTTGATTTCTGTTGATATTTCTTTGAATCTTTTCTTTTTTTTTCTTTATTCTGTTTTTATTTTCTTGTATTTTATAAAAACACACTGTTTACTATAAGTTTAAATTGGCATATTTCTCATTTTTCTCTCCCAAGGCAGTAACAATACTAAAAAAATTAGAGGTATTTATAAATAAAAGTTTAAATAAAGTCTTGCATTTAATGCTTGTTAACAAATTAAAAAAAAAATTAAAGATATTAATATAGATATGTACTTTTTAATAATGCTTTGTAAGTAAATCCTTTGGTTGATTATTGTTATTAAATTTAAGGATTTATTTGATCAAGTGAAGTATAATTTTTGAATCTCCTAATAGATATTCCAAAGATTTTCAATTGGCTTAAGCTATCAAATCCAAGAACATAAATGTTAAGCAGTACACAACTTCTATATATTAGTAAGTCATTAAAGATTTTTTTAAAGATTTTTATATTAGTGTCCAGGTTGATAATTTCTTTAAAAATGAATTATTTTATATTAATATGTTATATAATAGAGTCTATTATATCAGGATAATTATGGGTTTTTATCAAAATTAAATTAGAAATCTTTTCTTGTCAAATTTTTTTTGATTTAATCTGTTTTTAGCCTACAATTATTAGAAAGATTAAAGATTTTATTTTTCATATAACTTAATATATTTTGGTCAAGATTCAAATATTTGAATATAATATTTATTAAAAAACTGATAAACCTACAAATAAAAAATAAATTTATATATAATATTTTGCTCTTTATAAATATTAAACTAGGGAAATGCATTTAAAAACCTAAAAATATTATTTATTGTACTATAGGTCTATAGGTTTTTGAGAATTTTTTTTAGTTTACTTTTTAAAATAATATTTTTTATACTATTTTATTATTATTTTTTATTTTAATTATAGATTTATATTGTTTTTTTTTAATTATTCTCTAATGATTCAAAGTTATTTTTTTATTATTTAAATATTTTTTGTAATATACTTCTATTTGATAAGGAATTTTTTTTTATTTATTGAAATATATTTTATATCTAGATTGTTTTGAATATAAATTTGTTTATAATTAGCCTGTTGTAAAAGTTGTTTATTAATTCTTATACTATTTTTTTTGGTTTTTTTTAAGGTTTTTGTATTTTTTGTAAATTGTTTTCTTGATATTTAATTAAAAATTATATTTTTATATATGGTGCATGCCACCTAGTCACATCAAATGTTGCAGCAATGCTGAAATTTCAGCTGCAGGTATCACCTAATTTTTTGAGGGAGGGGGGTGTTTATTCCAATATTTGCATAATAAGGCACGTGTCATCAAAAGAATGTCGTGTAACTCCGATAGCATTTAGATTATCTTTACTCCATTTTCATTTCTCCTCCCACCTAAATTCTGCCAAAATGCCGCCTAAAAAACAAAAGGTACATCTACAAAAAGCACGTCAAAAGATAGGATATGGTATTTCAGATTATTTAAATTATTTACAGCATCAGTTTACATAAAAATTCGGCAGGTTAATTTAATTGTATAATAGTTGCGCAACAAGATTGTGAGACCACCGATGATATAGATAATCAATTGGAAGAATCTGACGGAATGGATGAGTGTTGGGTTGATGAAACTTTAGAACAGCAGATGAATGATTGTTTTTCGATTATGCTTCAAGCCGTCCAACAGCCAAGCATTTATATAAATACTGAATGCAAAGCATTTTATACCGGGACCGCAAAATCAACCATTAGAAATAAAAACCGGCAAATGAGATTAGCGGCACAAGGATCTGCAAAAATCAATTCATATTTTTATCCTGTCATCGATTTGACAGAGTCAAAAAGTAAGATTTTGGTTACATTAGTTTATTCTTTTATTGTAATTTCAATTTTGATATAAATATACAGATAATTTAGAACACTACCAAAACTCGAACCTACCAGATGATTCGTCCAATAAAAAAGATAATTCAGAACATCACCAAAACTCGAATCTAGTAGATAATTTGTCCGATGAAGAAGATTATCAATTTTTACTTGAAGATCTAGAACATGATATAAAACTCGGTATTAGTGATATCAGATTGCAATATGTTGCACAATATCTTCGGTTAGTTGCATCAGGCATGTTGAAAATTGAATCAAGTACAATTATTACGTCATCATTGAATTGAGGACCATGGGCTGCGTGACTTATTAGATCCTGGGCTATTCAATATAGAGAAACTGGTAGTATTATAACCTTACAACGTGGTCGCCACCCTAAAATTCGATCTTTATTGGATGATGAAGATGTTAAAGGTCAAGTAATGCATTATATACACAAACACAAATTTGAATTAGATTTTGTCAAGTTCTGTGATTATATTCAAAATGAGATCTTTCCAGGATTAGGAGTTGAAACTCATTGCACAATTAGCAACAGTACTGCATGAAGATGGTTAAAGCAATTAGGATGGCAATGGAAAAGGTATCAGAAAGGGTTGTATTATGACGGTCATGAATGGGATGATATAGTGGAATACCGAAACACATTTCTGCAGCAAATGACAAATTTTGAACAATTTATGCCACAATGGTCAGATGATCTTACTTTACAAATTGGTCCAGAACTAGCGACAAATCAAAAGTTACACATTCTTGTAACTCATGATGAATCAACATTCTTTTCAAATGATGGCAGAAAAGAATTTTGGGGACCAGATGATGAACAACCACTTCGTTCAAAATCTACAGGCAGTAGTCTAATGGTCAGTAACTATTTGTGTGATACACTGGGATGATTACAATTAGATTCTGAAAAACAAGCACAAAATTTATTACTTCTGCCAGATCAACAAATACCAGAGTGTGCTTGTACTATTATACGTTCAGGAAACAATCGAGATGGTTATTGGGGAAGTAAAGATGTTGCAAAACAACTTAAAGAAAAAGCAATACCAATATTTAATACAATGCATCCAAATTGTATTGCAATCTTTGCATTTGATAATAGCACCAATCATGGTACATACACTGATAATACATTATTGGCAAAAAGAATGAATCTTTCTTCAGGAGAAAAACAATAAAAAATGAGAACTACTATTATATGTAATGGAACATTACAAACTATGGTATTTGATGATGGAACACCAAAAGGTCTACAAGTGGTTTTAAATAAAAGAGGATACAATATACAAGGGCTTAAAAAAATTTGTAAAGAATGTATTAAAGAACAATCTCAAAATACCAATTGTTGCACAATTCAAATCTTGTTATTAGAGTCAGATTTTGCAAACCAATGACCTTTGCTTTAAGAAATTGTGGAAGATGCAGGATACAAAGTTATCTTTTATCCAAAATTTCATTGTGAGCTTAATTATATAGAAAATTATTGGGGCCAGGCAAAAAATATGCACGCAGACATTGTGATTATTCCTTTGATGGTTTACAAAAAACTGTACCAAATGCACTTAAATCTGTATCATTAATTCAGATTAGACGATATGCGCGAAGAGTACATCATTATATGAGTGCTTATTATTTAGGTTTAATAGCAAAGCAAGCAATATTTGCTGTAAAAAAATACAGATCTCATAGGTGCATTCCAGAAGATATTCTTCAAGAATTAGATAAACTTCAATAATAAATTCAACATTTTTATAATTTTGGCTAGCATTAATAAATTATCCTAATGTTGGCCAAAATTAATCATAATTTTGACAAGATTTAAATGCTGAAATTTGAAAATTCTTAATAAAAAATTTTTTTTAAAAAATTATAGAACACAAAACCTATAGTATTTTTCAAAATTCCAACTCTATTAGTTTATTGCTTACATTAAGATCTACAAAATAATAGAAAGTTTTTTTAAAATTATATAATAGAATTTTCAGTTCTATTCTTTTAAACTTAGTAATATTTATTAGATATGATTAGGTGGCATACACTATATTTATGTAATTGGATATAAATAACTCAATAAATACTAGTTGAAATTTGATTATTCAGCATGTTAAATTATTGTTGAATTTTTAAATTTTTTATAATTAAATTTAAACTGAATTTATGCTATTTGGTATCACTCAGCATAAAATCAAATATAAATATTCATTAAATATTCATTAATAGTTTAACTATAATATTATAATATTTGACAATGTAAATACAAATATTTGATAGATAACTTAGCTATAATTTAACATATTTTATATTTGAATTTTCATATATATTAGCAATTAATTTCATTATTTATTATTATTTTTTTTTTTACACCTAATCAGACCATATACTAAAGTTTTATTTGCATTCAAATTAGTTTACAAACTATTGGGTTTGAACTGATCCCAGGTACAAATGGTAAGATACATCAAGTGTCCGGTGGATCTATACTATAGGTTAAACTTTTTATACATTATACAGCACACCCGTCAACAGCCACTGATCTCTAGATATAATTAAAGGAAATGAAAAAAGTTGCTCTATCTTGGTCCACATTCCTTGTGGATCTCAATATTATCGCCAGCCCTTTATCAAGAATGTTCAGCCCAACTTAATCTCTGTGATTCTAAGATATAAAAATTTTTATTTTTTGAGAAGATAAAAGGAAAAGGTAAAGGGGAAGGAGAAAAGTTTGTGCTGGTAAAATAAAAACCCTACCAAAACCACAATTAATTTCATTATTTAAAAATAAAAATAATTAATAAAATTTAACAATTATTCATAATTATAATTAACAAAAAGTTTATTAAAATATGATAATAAAATAATATAATTTGAATATAACAAAAAAATCACTCATATAAATTAAGTTATTTGTTATTTTCTGTTTCTTCTTCCTCTTCTTCCTCTTCTACCACTTCTTTTTCTTTCCTTTAATTGATATTATTCTGGATAACCTTCTTAATGCCCTTTTTTTTTTCTTTTTTTCAGTTATTTTTTTCTTGCTGATTTTGTACTTTCTATTGCTTTCACTTTAACAACTGCCTCCCTGATCTCACCCATTATTATGTTTTCTCCAGTTTGATGCTCCTCCAAATATATTGATGATTCTTTAGCAACCTTTCGTTTTTTATGTTTTTCTACCAATTCTTCAGCTTTTCCTTTTGAATAGTAAGTCCAATTTGGCAAATCATTGGGTGGTGTTACATTATAATAAGTTGCAGTCTTATAAGTTCTCTTATGAATTATTTTTATATGTTGAATTTCTATTGAATGTTTGTTCAAAACTCCTCTTAACAAGTTAGTTAACTATATAATAAATAAATATTTGATATATAAATATTTAATAAACAAATATTTGAATTTAATGATAATTAAATATCTCATAAGAATACCAACTATAATAATATATGACTACTTTTCTTTTATCACTTTCTGAATCAGTTTTACTTTCTTCAGGTGAATGGACCTTTGTTTCTTTAAGAACATCAAGCAATTCATCCTGATATTTTGCAATTTCTTTAGACTTTTTACTAATTAATGATTTCATACTTTTAATTCTTTAGCCTCTTTTTTTTATTATTCGTTAAAAATTAATATATGTAAAATAATGTATATTGTTGGCCTTAATGGCAAGTCTGTCGTTAGTCCAGACCAAGACTTGTGCGATGTTGGGTAAGTGGGTCTATGTTGCTGGCAATACCAAAGGTATGTATAGTGATAATTATTTTAATCTTCCTTTATGTTTAGCTAGTCTCCTCCTCCAATCCTTTCCCTATTGAACTATAAGGCCCTGGATTTTTCTTAAGGTGACTAAAGACAAATAAGATAAGTTTATTAATTATCATTGCATAGATGCAAACACTTGGCTTTTCAATGAATAGTATTTTATTAATTTCTGTTTTCCCTTTTTACATTTGAATATCATTGCTATTTATATGACTGTGACATGTCTTTAAATCTATTGTTGCATTATGCAGAATTACTAAACCTTAACAAGCTTTGCACCCATCGATCATGCATGATTGATGCATAATCGATATTCCATGCGGTACTATTCCAGGTCTCACATGTCATGTTATGCCCCTACTACAATTTTTATGCTAACAATATATATAAGCCTAATGTTCTTAGCTTATTTAACAAATTGTTCACATGCAAATAATTATTGTATGTCTTTAATTTTTCTGATTTTGATTTTAGGTACCTTCCTCTTTAATGACGATGTAAGGCACCCAACCAGTTATGTAGTTGTCTTTATGAGAAATTAAAGTTTGGAACTATTAAAGTTTTTAGATTTTGAATTACCAGAGCCAAATAAATTTATCAATACCGATAGCCGATTTATATGGATTTTATTATGGATTATAAACTTTAGAATAAAATTTAATTTATCAAATAATGCAATAAAGGTATTTCTAAAGTTTATAAAATTAGTACTAATTAAAATTGGTGGTGATGAATTTGAATCTTTTTGTGAATCTTTGTATACTATCAAAAATTTTTTTGGATTGTCAGATCAATTCATTAACTTTGTAGCATGTCAAAAATATCATAAGTTATATAAACAAAATGAAGTAATCAATTTTCAACAAAACAATCAGCTATCTATTATAAAATGTGTTCATGTTAAATTTCCAAACTCCACAACTTGAAGAAAATATTGTAACACTTCATTATTCACACAATTGAAATCATTAAATAAAAGCATAATCAATCGGCCAGAATTAATTTTCCCTTATGTTACTATTTGGCATCAATTAGTACAAATTTATCAAAATTCGGGTTTCGATTTTGTCTTCAGTATTGGACAAATCGGCCAAATTTTAATAAATATTTTTATTATATTTATGATAGCAATATTTAAAAAACTTTCGAAGATGAAAATTCAGAATTATTTTTTAGCAAAGAAAAGGCAGATTCATACTTAAGATTGATACTAAATATTGACTAGTTTCAATCATATAATAACAAAATAAATAGTACTGGTATTATATATTCAGAAATTACTAATCTACCATATGAAATATAGTTTAAGTATAAATATACTGATTCTTGATATATTACCAGGCCCTAGTGAATTAAGTTTGCATTAAATAAATCATTACTTTTTATCAATTGTAGACAAATTGTTGCAACTATGGCAAAGAATATATATGTGGTAGAAATAGGTAGATCCTTGACATAATTGATGTAATTATTTGATACAATTAATTGAGTCACTATTAAAACATAAAATAATTGAGTCAGACACAATTATTTTTAAGAATTTTGGCAATTGAATCAACAGCAAAATAATTTATATCATATGTATAGCAAGAAGTAATGTTAGATTCTATCATTGAAAATAAGAACAGGAAAATAATTCAAGCTGCTTTGATTTTAATTTTATGCAATATTCCTGCAGCATGAAAAGTATGTGAACATATTTTGGCACTAATATTATATCATCACTATAAGAAAAAAACAAATTATGTCAACAATCAATATAACTATGGTGATATAAATGATATAAACAAATGGTTTATATCAAGGAATTTGACAACTCATAGATGAAATTCTATCGAATGGAAAAGTTGTAGTTTTAATGCTGCATAAAAATGATTTGTTAGTGAAAATCATATCAGGTGGTCAGAACTTTTTCACCTATCATACTTTAATCCTATTTGGTATTTAGTTATCAATCCTATGTATTGTTTTTTTTAGGTATTGGCAAATGGCTTGTTAAACGAATATGGATTAAAGAGAATTATTAACAAACAATACATTGGATAAAATACATTTGATGATAGAAAAGTTTCAAGTATCATTAGATGTTGGACAAATCCCAAGAAAAGTAAATATTGACAAAGGTTTCTTT